GTCTTGGATAAAAATAATGGACTAGCAGCTTTGTTTCAGTTGATAATTTACATGATTTCCTCTTTTGATTCAGGTAAGGTCCAAGGAGCTTAAGAGGGTGTGTGTGTGTGTGTGTGTGTGTGTGTAAACAGCCTTGCTGAAGCATTGTGGAGGTGAGCAGTTAAAAAAAACAAAACAAAACACTGAGAGTCCTCATCTTTTACTTTGGGATTATTTAAGGGAGAAAGCTCCTTAACCAAACTAAGCATTTTGAACTCGGGGATCATATTTTATATTTTTATATCCCCCACAAAGCTGTACAAATGATAGGACTCAGGAAATATTTGCTGATTGATTTGAAAATATTTAGTCAAAACTCCAGAATTTTACTTGATAATTAAAAGAACTAGATTATATTTTAAAAATGTTCTGTTTACAATCCAGAGATGTGGAACCAGTGCAAGTTTATTCCAAGGCAGATCATTCATTCGTTCTGTCACTCACGCATCATATATTTCTTGAGTATTTACTATCAGCTAAGTACCTGTTAGGAGCTCTGGTGGCGTAGTGCCTAAGGCATTTGACTGCTAACCAGAAGGCTGGCGATTCAAACCCACCAGTTACTCCTCGGAAGGAAGGTTGGGCAATCTATTTCCATAGTGATACCGCCTCGGAAACCCAAGTAGGGGTCGCTATGAGTCGGGACTGACTTGACAGCAATGAGTTTGGTTTGGTTTTGGTTTAAACACCTGTTAAGTGCTGTGGTGGCACAGTGGTTAAAGCATTCAGGTGCTAATCAAAAGGTGGGCAGCTGGAACCCACCAGCCTCTTTGTGGTAGAAGGATGTGGCAGTCTGTTTCCGTAAAGATGTACTGCGTTGGAAACCCTATGGGGCAGTTCTGCTCAGTTCTAGGGTTGCTTTGTGTCAGAATTGACTTGATGGCAGTGGGCTTTTTTAGGGACCTGTTAGAGAGCCCGAGGAGCTCTGCTGGCATAGTGGATAAGGCATTTGGCTGCTAACCAGAAAGTCGGCTGTTCAAACCCACCAGCTGCTCTTCAGAGGGAAGATGGGGCAATCTGCTTCCTTAAAGGTTTATAGCCTCAAAAACCCAATGGGGGGGAGTCACTGTGAGTCAGAATCCACTCTATGGCAGTGAGTTTGGTTGTTTGATTAGAGAGTCCTGGTGGTGCTGTGGTTAAAGCTATTGGCTGCTAACTGAAAGGTTAGCAGTTGGAACCTACCAGCTGCTCTGTGGGAGAAAGATGTGGCAGTCTGCTTCTGTAAAGATTTACAGTCTTGGAAACTCTTTGGGCAGTTCTACTCTGTCACATAGGGTCGCTATGAGTCAGAATTGACTGAAGGGCAGTGGGTTTGGGTTTGAAGGTACCTGTTAGGAGCCCTGTTGATGCAGTTAGTAAGTGCTCAGCTCTAACCTGAAGGTTGGTTTGAACATACCAGCCTCTCCATGGAATAAAAGGCCTGGCAATCTGCTTCCATGAAGATTACAGCCTTGAAAACCCTGTGGGCAGTTGTGCTCTGTCCTATAGAGTTACTCTGAGTTGGAATCTACTTGGCGGCCCTGGGTTTGTTTATTTTGGAGGTATTGGTGAGGCAGTAGAATTACAGTGCTAAGACGGACCACCATGGTCCCTGACTTCAAGAAGCTTCCAGACTGCTGCTGGGGAAAGGCAGTGAGCCAGTGGATGAGCACAAAGTACAGGTCACCATAAATGCCATGAAGGAAATAAACTGGGTTCTGAGGCAAGTGTAATGGGGAGACCTAAGTAGTTAGCAAGATCAGTGAGGGCCTCGTTCTGGTTCCTTAGTGCCGCTTTGACAGGAATATATCATAAACGGGAGGCCTTAACAAACAGGAGTTTATTCTTACAATTTGGAGGCTTTAAGTCCAAGTTCAAAGTGCCAAGCTCCAGGGGCTATGTGAAAGCCCCTCAGCCTTGGGCTTCAGCTCTTCCTCCAGCTCCCAGCCCACTGAAGCTAGAGGCTTTTCTGCACTCAGACATCTGCTGGCTGCTGAGGCTGCCAAGCCCAAGGTTGACAAGTAAAAAGGCACAGTCCTGAGGTTACCAAACCACACAGTAGGCCATTGATTAAAGTCCATTGTAAGTCCCAAGGTTGGCAGAGCATGGCAGGCTGCTGAACAATGGCACAGCTACATGCAGGATCCAAGCACACCATAAGCTAGAGACCACTCCCAAAGCTACTTCTTATATATGGGCAGCAGACCACATACACAAAGACAGCTACTCAGCTGCTTGTGGTAGATCCCACCATGGAGTTGATTGCCATTCTCATCATGGGGAATAACTACCACTAGCTGCCCAGCCACTTAACCAGGCCCAGCCAAGTTGACATACAGACATAACCACTACAGGCCTCTTGCAGGAACTAACAGATTGGTGACATGAAATACCCCACTTTTTCCTTCCATTTCTAAATATAGAGATTTGGGTAGCCAGAAAACTGAGATCCCGGTGTGGAAATTTACCCTTGTGGGCATTAATTTTGTCTCACATGTCACATCACTGTTATTGAAATCTTTAGGTTATTTGGTGGTATAATTAAACTCAGAATTTGCATACAGTCGGGTATCTAAAATACATGATGAACCAACATATGATTTATAATAAACACCTATGAATTGAACTCCTTGTTAGTCTAAGAAGGCATTGATAGTATAATGATATCTCACATGTTCTTTGGTCATATCACAATGCTTGTCAGGACTTGAAATTAATTTGGTATGCAGATTACTAGGGAAATTGCTGATTAACTGACCCCCATATATTAGTAAATAACAGGAATTCACTTATCTGGACTTCTTTTTTTGTAGTTTTGTCTAATGGTTGGGAATGTATCTAATTCTGGTATGGTGTCAAGCACATCCATTTTAAACTACTATACTGAATAGAAAGCTATTATGTTGGTAATTTTTCTGAGGCAAAAAATTCATTTAAGAATTTTTTTTTTTTTTTTTTACAAATGAAACAATGTCAATTAGAGAATATAGGAAAGTCTGAAAATTAGGATTATCTCTCCAAAATATAGATGGGTAGCTATCCACAAAGAAAAGAAAAGTTTTAATGGCTGCTCGATTCCAGCAAGTTGTGATTCTAACAGAATTTTTTTTAAGTAGACTTGTGAGGAAACAGATCAATATTAGTTGCTGTAAGCCAATGTCAAAGTACATTTCTACATAGAGTGAGTTTGGTAGAGGGGGAAAATGGACAATAGAAAAAGAAAACCCTCATGATTGAAAATTTTAATAGCTTATTGAAACACATCATAAATCAGGTTGTCTCCTCCGGAGTGAATCGGGTAAAAATGTTTGAATTTGAAGTGAAAACAGGAGGGGAAATGAAGTTGTATCAACTTCTCTTTTTCTGAAAAATCTTAATTAAACATTTTTCTGTGTTATTTAAGGTGTATTGTATTTTCATATACAAAAAATTAATTATCCCCTCCTTTTGTTTAATTAAAAAGAAGTGATACTTCATTTAAAATGCTTCTGAAAATTTATGTCTTCCTTAAAAACATACATGGAAATTAATCAAGCCTGTGCTGAAGAATGGGAAGGTCAGTGAAGGAAATAAAGCTAAAAATAACAAACACTTTTGTTTAGATTTTAATGTTTTTTTCTTTGTATGTGTGTACTTTATCTAGTAAAGTCTGATTATAGATCGGCTAGGCTTCATTGGGCCTGGATGCTTGTCAGGACTTGAAATTAATTCGGTACGCCATGTTGGTGGCTGTTAGTGGCAGATCGCTAGGGAAATTGCAGATTAACTGACCCACATTGATGCAAAGTAATGAGGAGGAAAGGCAGTGGTTTCTGGTGCCCCATGAATTGACATCACAATCATTAATGGTTTGGGGGCTGCATACACCTTTTATGCTTTACCATACCAATCAAAATGGGCCTATTTTTTGTGTCTTCTCTAGAGCACTGACAGACCACCCTGATCATTCCAGGCCTTAGGGAAATCTCTACACTGTTTGAATCTCACTGTTGACACTACTTAATCCTAAACTCAGACTTCTTTTTCTAAAACTGAGGAAAGTAATTCAATTTTCTCCTCAAACTCACCAGCCCTACCTGGACTGAAATATTAGTTCCAGGTACCATGAGTTAGCTGTGGAGTCCACTGAGGTACAACACCCCTTTTTAGATGAATAAAAAAGTGAAATCTGATTCTAATGGCTTTAGTTCTCCAAAGAATAGCGACCCCTCCTTGGATTTCTGAGGTGGTATCACTATGGAATAAGATAGTCTTCCTTCTGAGGAGTGGCTTGTGGGAGTGGCTGGTGGGTTTGAACTGCCAGCCTTCTGGTTAGCAGTCAAGTGCCTTAGGCACTATTGCCACAAGGACTCCCATAAGAAAGTAAGATCTGATTCTGATGGCTTTAGTTCTCCAAAGCATACAATCAGAGAGGGTCACTTGATGAATCTGAGAGTCCGTGTTAACTAATTTCAGGGCATAATGTTTTGTTTGCGGCAATATATCTCAAGCTTAACATGTCATAGCACAAGTCGCATTTTCTTATCTAACTTGCCCACTGTCCATGGGATGGATGGTTTGTGATCATTTTATTTCTAGGTAAAGAAGTTGAATGATGTTTTCTTTGGAAACTTTTAGGACTAGAAAGTCTATCCATGTTTCTTTAAATGAAATAGGCCAATCACTTATGAGGGGTTTCGTCATGCCTATCCTAGGAAAATTTATATGATACCCTCAATTCTGGCTGATAAGTGAGGGGCTAATTTAGAAACACGCACCTAGATTTTTCAGACTGACTTGGTCCTCTAAAACCATTTTTAAAAAATGTTTAACTTACATATTTTTGTGTTTTCCTTTGCAGGAAATTGATACGGTGTCAACATGGAGATTAATCATTTGTATTTGGAAACAGCAGAACTGGGGACCAATGACCTTTCAAGAGCTTTATAAACCAGTTACACAAACTCTTATTCCATTACTCTCATCCCCCATCTCACCTTCCTATGGCATTCAGGAGGCAAGTGAAAAATTTCGTGAAAAATTACTCAGATGCTGAAATCAAAGTCAGGGAAGCGACTTCTAATGACCCTTGGGGTCCTTCTAGTTCTCTGATGCTAGACATCAGCGACCTGACTTTCAACACGATTTCTCTGTCCGAGATCATGAACATGCTATGGCAGAGACTCGATGACCATGGGAAGAACTGGCGCCATGTGTACAAGTCCCTTACGCTAATGGATTATCTCATCAAGAACGGATCAAAGAAAGTCATCCAGCATTGCAGAGAGAGGTTCTGTAACCTTCAGACACTGAAAGAATTTCAGCACATTGACGAAGCTGGAAAAGACCAAGGTAACAGTTAAAGATGTCAATAGAGCATGTCAACAGAATTAGGAGCTTTGGAGGGATCGTTTTGAACTGGGAGCTGGGGAAAAATTGTTCCCTAGAACAGTAATAGTTTCCAGTTTAATCCTTTGTGTTGACTCTTAGAGAACAATATCTTTTTTTTTTTTCCCCAAAAAAAGAATATGTCCAACTAACACACTTAGGTTCCAATAACATGATACCTCGTAGGAAGTGAATAAAGTGAATAAAACAGGAGGCATGGCAATTTGGTATAATAAAGTCACTGTAATTCATAATTGTAATTAGATAAATTTAGTCATAAATGTAAGGAAGTGTTTCCAAAGGCTGTAAAATCTTCAAAGACTATTGAGATGGAAATAGTTATAGTCAAATATTTAGGTCATAAAATCATTCTGTTGGGGGTGGAGGAGGTGAAGTGGGGAAAGGGTATGTATATAGAAAGCGGAGCTGATTCAGTAGTGTCTCCTGTTCTGTAATGGTGAAAGAGTCAGCGCTTTCTCCCTAGCTAATGTGAAAGAGTGATTGTGCTTAAAGTAAATAGACTGATGAATCATGAGGAAAGGGTAAGATTCAGTGCAGTCTCGGTGTTAAGTATACATTTTGAATTTGAAGTATTTGATTACTTGTCAGATGTGTATATATGTGTGGTATTTTATCTATTGGAATTTTATTAGACAGAACACTCCATACCCTAGAATACGCTGAATAGTTTATCAAACTCTCTGAAATACAGAAATATAGTGAAATGTGCTTATACCTTCACTGTGTCATTTTTCAAGATATATTGTTTAAATTTGACAGCTTTAGCTTTAGATTTTAATGACTACACTGTATATATTTCCCAACCTTTTGAAAAATCATATGAACAGGTTTTGGAAAAATAGATATTTACAGCAACATAATACAGTCTTGATTCAATATCTGTGGTGCAATGAGTTACTTGGTATAGCTTTTCTAGTCATAGTCTTTATAACTCCCATTGGATTACTAGGTGGGACGATGCAAATAAGGTGTGTAGAAGTCTGATGTTGGGATTGGTTAGTTTTGTCACTCTGCCAGGCTTAAAGTGAGCCCTCCTGGAGTCAGAGAGGGGGTCTCACTGCCATCAAGAGAGAAGAGCTGGAGGTGAAGTGGAGTGCACCCTTGGACCTGAGAGCCCTGCACTAGACCTCCTTGGCAGAGAGATATCCCAGCAGAGATGGCAGCGGTGGAACCACGAGTCATGAGACAGAGCGACGGGCTTACCTGGCCCATGGAGAGAGAGCTGAGTGCCCCTGGGCAGGAGGCTTGCTGGCAGAGTGGGGTGCACCTAGGTGTACCTATTGGCAGAGCTAAAAGAGCTTTGTAACATTTACCTGAGCGGGGCAGAGGCCAGGCTGAAAGGCCAAGGGCCAGAGAGGTGTGTCTGAGGGCACAGCAGAGGGGAGATTGTCCTGATAGAAGAATTATATCCTGAGCACGTTCCTGGGCCTGAATTGTAGCCTGTTACTTTCCTAATAAACCCCATAATTGTGAGTATTGTCTGTGAGTTCTGTGTGGCCATTGCAACAATTATCAAACCCGGCAGAGAAGTGAGTACGGTGGGAGGGATGGTTGGTGTCAGAATTGGTAAAAGGCTGGAGGGTGGCAACATGTCTGGCCTCATAGGAATAAACCTTGGGCTGCTGATGGTGATTCTGTCTTCCTCTTGTGAAGTTAGAGGAGATCAGAAAATGTTGCCTCCATGTACTATTTGCAAAAGCAAATCATTTTTCACTACAATGAACAAATCTTTCATAGAAAGATTGTTTTCTGTTCTTGTACACAAGAAATAAAATATTGTTGAGTGAATGGCACTCAGCAGTTGGCTTAGCAAGCAATGGTAGGTAAACTATTAAATAGCAATAGACAGATTCATAACTCTATAGAGAATTGACATTAGATTGCAAACATTTTAAGCGTGGCCCTTTGCTTAACATATATTATACACCTTTCTTAACATGTACTATACTTAGGAAGGGAAGCATTTGCTGTAATAACAAACGCATAGTTCTATGGATTTAGTAATAGAGGCGAACATTTTAGTCCTAGAATACTGATTCCAGTCGTGCTGGTTGGTAGTGCTATAAACAGCTAGACCATGAGAATTATTTCTGTGAGAACTTAATTTGTGGATTGTTTTTGAAATTCCTAGTAAGCTCTTGTTCCATAGTGAAAGTATTAGGGCTTTTCGGAATAGCAACTTAGTGCCAAAATGAGTGTGAGTAAATGTCCACTGCTAAGAATGGAAATTCCAGAACATTTCATTGTGCTTATGTAGAACCTGCACGTAAACTGCACAAGAGGCAGTCTTTTGAACAGAATAAGAGGATACTCCATGGTTTAAAATCAGGGAAGTTGTGTGTCAAGGTGGTATCATTTCAGTATACACTCAATCTATATGCTGAGCAAATAATCCGAAAAGTTAAAGTATATGAAGAAGAGCGTGCCATCAGGATTGGAGGAAGACTCATTAACAGTCAACAATAGGCTGATGATACACCCTTGCTTGCTGAAAGTGAAGAGGTCTTAAAGGATTTTTATGAAGATCAAAGACTATAGCCTTCAGAATGAAGTATACCTCAACATAAAGAAAATAAAATCTGGACTGGTAAGCAACATCATAATAAATGGAGAAAAGAGTGAAGGTATCAAGGATTTCATTTTACTTGGATCCACAGTCAGCACCCTTCAAAGCAAGAGTCAAGAAATCAAGCAATGTATTACATCAGGCAAATCTACTGCAAAAGATCTTTTTAAAGTGTTAAAGAGCAAAAGTGTCACTTTGAGGACTTAGGTGTGCCTAACCCAAGCCATGGTATTTTCAGTTACCTCATATGTGTGCAAAATCTTGACAATGAATAAGTAAGACCAAAGAAGCATTGATGCTTTTGAATTACTGTGTTGGCGAAGAATATTGACTATACCATGGACTTCCAGAATAATGAACAAATCTGTCTTGGAAGAAGTACAACCAGAATGCACCTTGCAAGTGAGGATGGTGAGACTTTATCTCACATATTTTGGATATGTTATCAGGAGGGACCAGTCCCTGGAGAAGGACATCATGTCTGTAAAGTAGAGGGGTCAGCAAAAAAGAGGAAGACCCTCAACAACATGGATTGACATAGTGGCTGCAACAATGGCTTCAGACATGGCAACGACTGTGAGGATGTCTCAGGACCAGCCGGTGTTTCGTTCTGTTGTCCATGGGCTCGTGATGAGTTGGAACTGTCTTGAAGCACCTAATAGCAACAACAACTTCTTGAAGATTGAAGTATAATTCACATGCTGTAAAATTCATACCTTAAAAGTGTGCAATTTGATATTTTTAGTGTATTCTCAAAGTCCTGCAACTATGACCCTATCTATTTCCAGACATTTTCATCACTGGAAAAAGAACTCTATACCTATTAGCAGTCATTCCTCATTTTCCTTGTTCTCTGCCAACTACTCATCTCTTCTCTGTCTCTGTGGATTTGCCTATCTGGACATTTCATATAAATGGAATTCTATAATATCTGGCCTTTTGTGTCTGGCTTTTTTCACTTGACATAATGTTTTCAAGGTTCATCCATGCTATAGCATGAGTAAGCACTTTATTCCTTTTTATGGCTGAATAATGTTCTATTGGATGTATTGCATTCTGTTTATCCATTTGTCATTTGATGGACGTTTGGGTTATTTCTACTTTTCTGCTGATATAAACATCCAGGCATAAGATTTTGTGTAGATATAAGTTTTCATTTCTCCTGGGTATATACCTAGGAGTGAAATTGCTGGGTCATATGATAACTTTATGTTTAACATTTGGAGGAGCTGCCAAACACTTTTCCAAAGTGGCTGCACCATTTTACAGTCCCACCAGCAAAGTATTAAGGTTCCAATTTCTCTCTATCCTTGCCAACACTTGTTATTACTCACCTTTTTTATTATAGGCATCCTAGCGAGTGTGAAGTGGTATCTCATTGTAGTTTTAATTTGCATTTTAATGCCTAATGATGTTGAACATCTTTTCGTGAACTTACTGGCCATTTTTGCCTCTTATGCATGTGGAAGCTAGACAATGAAAATGAAGACAGAAGAAAAATTGATGCACTTTAACTATGGTATTGGTGAAGAATTATGAACATACTATGGAATGCCAGGGGAGCTCTGGTCACATAGTGCCTAAGGGTTTGACTGCTAAACAGAAGGCTGGTGGTTCTAACCCCCCTGCCACTCCTCGGAAGAAAGGTTAGGCAATCTACTTCCATAGGGATGCTGCCTCGGAAACCCAGGGAGGGTTTTTTTGGTATGGACTACCAGAAGAATGAGTAAATCAGTCTTAGAAAAAATACAACCAGATTATCTCCTTAGAGGTGAAGAGGTGAAATGTCAGCTCACCTGCCTTGGGCATGTCATGAAGAAAGACAGATCATTTGAAAAGGACATCAAGGTTGGTAAAGTTGGAAACTCATTGGAAACCCTGAATGAGATGGATTGACACCATAGCAGAACAATGGACGTAAACACTTCAACAGTGAGGAAGATAGCAGAGAGTCGGTAGGGCGACATTTCATTCTGTTATACATAAGGTCGCTGTAAGTTAGAGCTGGCTCAGTGGCACCTAACAAGAACAGCATTGACAATTTGCATATCTTTTGTTGAGAAATGTCTGTTCAAATCCTTTGACCATTTTTGATTGGGTTATTTTTCTTTTTATTGTTAAGTTTTTAGTGTTCTTTATGTATTCTGAAGAATATCAGTTAGGTGATTTTCAAATATCTTCTTCCATTCTGTGGGTTGTCTTTTCACTTCTTTGATGTGTCCGTGGATACATTAAAGTTTCCAGTTTTGAGGAAGTCCAGTTGATCTAATTAAAAATTTTTTTTGTCGCGTGTGCTTTAGGTGTCACCTGTAAGAAACCGTTGCCTAATCCAAAGTCATGGAGATTTGTACCTTTGTTTTCTTCTAAGAGTTTTATG